TTAGAAAATAGTTTATTTCAAGCTGTAACATATGTACAACGGATTCAAGCTAACATGACTAATATGAATTCGATTGCTTTAACTGAACCACATGAATCGCTACATTTTCTGTTGACCCAAGCTTTATCACATAAGAAAACAATGAAAGAAAAAATGATTATAGATGTATTAAACAAATTAACAACTGATATTGAACAATTAAGTAGAAAAAACTCATTCGTTAATTTATATCCGTTTATTGAAAGGTTCGTCTTTCCGATTATTAACACAAATGTAACATTAACTACTATGCTCTATTCAACTTGTGGAGCATATGGAAATTCGTGTGAATTTCTAAACGATCATAAAATGTTAACCATACAAGCCAATGATGTTCGTCACACCAAACAATTAATGGAACAAATCCTTCTGTCTAGTGATATCAAAAGAAAATGTCCGTATTGTAAAGATGATACGACACCAAGGACATTTCATAACGCCATTTTAATTTGCCCAAAGGTCATTTTTGTTTTTAAAACTCAAAACAGTGATATTGATAAAAATTTATCGTATTTGGAACACATTAACTTCAATACATATTTAGGTCAAAATTTAGTATGTGTCAAGTGTTATTCAATATACCGATTAGTTTCGACTGTGTATGAAAAAGAACCCAATGAATACGGAGCTATTGCTTATTGTAAAGATTTAAAATATCATGGTACGTCAGCAAATAAAACATTTATAGTCAGTAAGAAAAATAAAGTCAGGTGTTTACAAACGTCCTCTTTATTGATATATCAAAAAGTTATTGTACTTGGCGTGGATTTTTTGAATGCAGTCGTAGCAGCTATTGATCGCCGTAATCTATTATCCACAGACATTACAACGCGCGATATTTACTCATTTGGAGAGTTTGTGGACGCAGTTAAAATAATATTATCCGAACTAGCAAAATCGTTTCTGTTCAAGGTACGTGCATATCATTTATGCTCATTTGACTTCAATATAGATCCGACAGATATCAAGCTCAATCTTTCAGATTTAGGATTGTTATCACCATAGAAAAGAAACAATATGCGAAAAGAGATATCTCCCTATTTGCTTATTGCCTCAATGCATTCTATTAAAGAAGATATATATACTTCTTTTCTTTTTCGTCACATGTTTTTCTCAAATATGAGCGATATAGCCTAGAGAGAGTGGTTGTTTTTAATTAGAACAGAAACACTCGACGAGTGTAGTAATTTCATTATCCTGTCCTTATTCTTAAACTTTTTCGAAAAATGTTTTCACCATTGTATAGCTGATAGTCTCAGTAATCGAACAAAAAAAAGAATTTTCAGTTTATCATTCAAAATGACAGAGTTCTTGCTCGTAGAATACACTGTGCTTCATTTCTGTTCTTATTAAATACCGCGTTTATTTAGAACAGAACCATTCACGTGTTTTTTTATGAACGGAGAAAAACACTTTTTTTTTGATGCTCGATCCACGGAATTTCAGGATACTTCTGAGAGATAAAACTTGTTCAGAATTCGATGAGGAATCCAAGCATGTGCGTTTTTTTAACACGAATGTACTATTCTTGAACTAGGAGAACGCAAACTTTCATTAGGGTTCATGCAAATAAGACACATATACAATTCTTTTCTCTTTTTATATACTATATATATATATAACATATATATTAAGACTGTTATCTTTTTCGTAGATCTCGATTTTCTCAGCCATTTTTCAAGCGATAAAAGAGAATTTTAGATTCCGGGATAGAGGAGACAATTCTCTATCCAACTATATAAAAACTTTTCAAAACTAATTTAGTTTAACTTAATTACAATGATAAAAAGACTCAAATATACGAAGTTTTTTTTTCACGAGGAATCCAATGGTACTATTTTTATCGAAAACAGATCGGGCTTTCACATTCATCTTCGCCACAGAGCAAATTCAATGGCTTGCAATAAATACTAACTGTTCTCGAATATGGCAGTCAAGCGATTTTTTTGTCAAGATCATATCGTGATTTTTTACTTCGGGTGGCAGTTACAACTTTTTTTCCGACGACAGATAAAAATGCCATGCAGTTGAATGAAGCCGCCATATAGAATCAGTTTACTATTCAAGTTCAATAGAATCAGTTTACTATTTGTTTTCTAGATCAAATATCTATGGATCAAAGGTCTTCCGAAGTTTCAAATTCCTCAACGAAATGTACATTTAATGTTGTTTATAGGTCAGTTTATTGTGAGTCATTAGAAGATTTTTTATTAATATCTGGTCAAACTAGTCTATTAAACTTACATAGCAATTCAGTAATGCAAATTCGAGAAATGATTGACGAAATTGAAAATACAACGTGAATCTAAATCAAATATTTATATTATCACGGAAGCAGATAAACAACAACTATTTTTATTTTTTAATTTTTTAATTTTTGAGTAAGTACTTTTTCTTCGTACCAACTTTATTTTTGTTATATTCCAAACGTTTCGATTGAGAGTTCAATCTTCATCAGTGGATACAAACATTAATTAAATTAATTAAAATTACATAAACAAAAACAAATTTGAGCAGAAAACTTTAACATAGGGATATTCTTC